TTGTATTTCTGACCCGTGTGTTATGTATCTTTATTCTATCCACCAATGTGTACTACATGTATATACTATGATAGTGCATTCCAATAATACATCTATGAGACGTATGTTTTGCATAGTAGTGTCTTTATTAATTTAACTATTTATATATTGTGTTGAGCAACACCAACGCGTATTAGTCCCCACGATCATTCAGTCCGATCAGCACACAGTCGTTATCTTAGTGGATATAGTGTTATAATTGCACTAGGGTTGGTATTGTTGCTAAATACCTGAGTACCCTACCCTTACACCCGAACTAAGTGTTCACCCACACTTCTTTAGTCCGTGCATGGAGGTAACAAGTTTTCTGTACCGGGTATTAAAAAAAGGATCATGCCAAACAACATAATGACCCCTCAAGAAAAAAGCTCCACAAATGTAGGAGAATCCAATTTACGGTTTTTCTATACCACTTTTCATTATCTAGATATTCGACTTTTCATCAGTATTATGTAGTCAGCCAGTAGTTGCTGTCCCTCAACATGTCAATAGACATGGCTGCCACAATTAAACAATTCTCGCTAGCAGTCAATCCAGCCCTGGACTTGCGCAAAATACTTAAAAAAAAGTGGGAACACCATTTAAAATCTGAGTTTCAGAAATACTCAAGTTACGACTGACATAAAATATAACGCGGAAAGCGTTGTTATAAGCAACCCGCACAGCATTCAGATTAGCTTTGGAAAATACAGCCCATAAATGAAAACAATACATCGTTGTACAGAAAGATTTAAATAGAGTCAACTTATTGAAATTACGTACCAAATAGTTGACTCTTGCTTAGAAAGACTTCACTTGACGCGCTATGTCACAACTATCATTGGTTAATGTGTTCACAGTAACTCCTAGGTATAAATAATTACTAACGAAATCCAGCTTTGAACCATTTAGATAAACATGAGGAATATGTGTAATACTATTACGAGGAGGCAGTATATACATACATTTCGTTTTATCAGTATTGAATTTGATGTTATGAGTGTTGGCAAAATAACTACACGTAGTCAGCAAACGATTCAAGCACTTCACAGACGGGCATATTAAAACGATGTCGTCTGCATACATTAAATGATTAAGCCATTTTCCAGATAAATGGCAACCAATACCCATAATGCCGAGTTCGTTGCTGAGTCCATCTATGGGTGTAGGTGTAGGTGTAGTGATAGAATGCCGCTCTGTCTAGCACCATTTAGAGTATCCCCAGCGTACTTTAAACTGTTGATTACGATACCAACACATAATAATTCTTACAATAAAAAATGAATGCCTCTATGCAATAACTTGCGAAACAAACACCACCGAAACAAACACCAGTGGAATTGTGTAACACGTGTACTGAGGTTAATGTGTTCCCTCCATGCGATGCTGTTTTGCAAACTAATCTCACTCTTTGTTAATTGGGGAATCATTTGAGCACAGTTATTCAAACGCGTGTGTCTGTCGGCAAAGACACATTAAGTCACACCGACCAAGCTAAGCTATGATACGACACTTGAGTAATCCGAATCGCTTTGGGTATATTCCTAGCATGGATAAGACCATGCTGCAAGATTTATTCTTGAACCTTACATCGAGTTCCACATACAAGGAATAAATAAGTCATACAATGTGCAGCTAAATAAATACTGTATTATTGTTAGCGATCATAACCAAAAACAAATACACAACTCGAGGCCATAAATAAGCAAAAATAAACGACAAAGCACATTATCACAATGGACAGGTAGCCATTCTAATACCGGTACGATGATGCAATTTCGGTGAGTAGCTCCGGTTTTCCGTAGAGGCACGCGTGGTGATAATCGCCGTCTCGTTTGCCAACTGAAAGAAGTGAGAGAAGATACACTAGTCAGTAATCCGGCCTAGAAAGAGCTCGGTGGATGAAATTTCTCTAAGATTTAAACACGCCGAGCAAGATAATTGTGCCATTTTCTTTGAATTAACACGGGGAACGAAAACTCTAATACAAATAATAGTTATTCTTAATTATTATTTGTTTTAAAGTTTTCGTAATGGTAGTTTAAAAATGTACTTCATACAATGGTTTTACGTGACCGCAGTGCAATTGCATACAATCGTGCAAAGTTAAACTCACCAATATGTCGTGATGTTCCTCTTGCCACAAGTAACACTCCGCAAGTTGCTTGAATCGCCGTATAAACTCGTCGTTGTTCCGTGGTACCAGACCAATCAATTTACCGTGGTCTTTGCTTGACGTGAAAAGTACAAATCTGCCAAGCTGCTCCACATTACCAGGGGAATGGCAAATTAAACCAGCCTAGTATATATATAGACAGACGTACCTTGTAGTATGATCATGTATGTTGGTATAGGCCATGGTTCAGGGAAACGACCGTTGCCAAGGGCAAAACATCGTTTAGACATCCATAAAACAATTGACAGAAATAACTGATCATAATGACCATATTTCATACTAATCAGAAATATCACAAACGTATGTACCCGTATCGCATTTCATATCTAATGCCAATAGAATAGACAGAATTATTCCCTGAAACTCGCATGTTGTTAGGGGGTCACATAAATTATTATGTCAATCTAAATTATATAAATATATAATACGTCAAGACGAACACTATAATTTCCAAATGAACTATAATTGACCCCAAACCGATAGATTATTGGTATTATAAACACTTACGTAATCGTCGATAAAGACTCGTGACAATGCTTCAAATGTCTGCCGATCGTCTTTAGAAAGCTCACAACAAACGGGCATTTTAATTTCATCGAATAACATACACCATAAGTAATTCTGAAAATAACATAAATATTGTATGTAGGTATAAGAATAAGTTCACGTTATCAACAAATTTAATATCGAAGCTTGTGTGGCTCTAGCCTGACAAG